AAAAAAAAAAATAATGTCAGTCTCCCGAAATTATCCGTTTACCATCCACAAGGACTGTCTTGCTACACCTGTCATTACCACCACCTGGCACATAACTACAGCATAGTAGATATTATATATTCACTGAGTTTTGCCAAAATTTTTTCTAGAGTCTCAGCTCTGTGCCCAAGAACAAGTTAGGTAACCTGTCCGAGCTGCAGTTTGCTCAAGTGCAAGATGGGGATAAAAATAACACCTACCTTGGAGGGTTGTTTTGAGAATTAACTGAGATATCTTGGCAAAACCCTGAGCACAGTGCCTGGCATATAGTAAGCATTTGATTAATGTATGCTTAAAAATGAAGAAAGGCCTTATCAATATACACTGACATCAGCAAGTTTTGAGACCGTCACTTTTTACCCTTTCCAACACTGAATGCTGTGTTTTCAAATATTTTTGTAAAAATACATGTATATTTTTGTAAATTTATAGGCAAAAAAATGGGGGGGGAATCTCATGGTTTTAAGCCAACGTGTATTTTCAGGTCAAGAGGCTTTGCCAATGAGATGTCCTTGCTATTCCATGACGGGCACACCATAAAGAAAGCAAAGGGTGCCCGGCTGGCTCAGTCCATGGAGCATGCAAATCTTTTTTTTTTTTTTTTTTAAAGATTTTATTTATTTATTTATTTGAGAGAGAGAATGAGAGTGAGAGATAGAGAGCACGAGAGGGAAGAGGGTCAGAGGGAGAAGCAGACTCCCTGCTGAGCAGGGAGCCCGATGTGGGACTCGATCCCGGGACGATCCCGGGACTCCAGGATCATGACCTGAGCCGAAGGCAGTCGCTTGACCAACTGAGCCACCCAGGCGCCCTAGAGCTTAGTTTAAAAAAGGAGGGGGGGGTGCCTGGGTGGCTCAGTCGTTAAGCGTCTGCCTTCAGCTCAGGTCATGATCCCAGGGTCCTGAGATCGAGCCCCACATCGGGTGCCCTGCTCAGCAGGGAGCCTGCTTCTCCCTCTCCCTCTACTGCTCCCCCTGCTTGTGCTCTCTTGCTCTCTCTGTCAATAAATAAATAAATAAACAAACTTGAAAAGAAAGATTTACTCCCCCAGCAGAAGGACTCCTTCCTTACCATCAGGAGGAGTCAGGGCTGTAAGGAACAAGGAGAATACATACAAAACCCAAGGGTTCACAGCCTGAAAAGGCCATGTGACCGGGCTCTTGGGGCTCAGACTCCTCAAGCTATGTCTTCCCTCCGGTTAGCAGAAGTGCTAGCCAAGGCTGGGAACAATCTAGAATGGGTAACAACGGAGTGAGAGGACTACCAGATGGGACTCCAGAACCGCTGTATAGTGGGACCGTAATTAGTCCCCCTAACTTTCCATTTATAAGCTTCTCTGGGAAGAGATCAAGCAGGGTCCTGAAAAGGCTGTTTAAGGGTAGGGTGAAAGGGTGATACAGCAAGTAGACCCAGGCAGGGCAAGGAGTGAACTACGTGGGTGCCACGTGGTGCTGCCCAGGCTCCCCCTTGAGGACTGCTCACTGCTGCTGGGGCGCTGTGTCCCCTGGGGGCTCTCAGCTGAGCTCTTTCACATTGTTCTCAGCAGAAGCAGCTGCCTTGACCAAGTCCTTACCCCCTTTCTGCAAACAGCTCACATCCAAGACTAGATGATGTGCCAGTTACCCCAATTCCAGACCGTCCTGGGAGGTCGTCCCAGCCTGAGAAAGCCCTGTGGGATTGGCTACCCTGACTTAGTTCACCTCCCCCTCCCGCCCCCCGCAGCCCCCAATCCTGCTTCCTTCCCTTCCAGGTGCTGTTCCCTCACCCCCTCAGTGGGCCTCCTGCACACAGATCTCAAAGTTTTTTTCCCAGAGAACCCAAATGATGACAGTGCTTGTTCAGAGATAAGAAGGCAACCAGTTCACAAAGTTAAAAGTGGTTTTCTCTAGGGAGAGGAACAGGGCTGAGGCGGTGGGGGGGGGGTGGGCAGGAGACTGTCCTTATATCCCCCTCTGTGCCCTTCCTGCTTTTTAACACACATGTATTAATTCCATCATTAAAACCTTTGTTCGATTAAACTTTTTTAATTTGAAGAATTTGATACTGTTGCTCTCTTGTTTTAAAACTTTCCATTGCTTCCCATTGCATTTAGAATAATCCTTGAGAATTGTTAACATGGCTTATAAATCCCTCCCTGACTGGTCCCTGCTGAGTTTCCTACCTCACTCTCTCCATTAGCTGCCTTCTGGACTCAGAGTTTCTCAAATGGGCCTCTCTTCCTAACTAGGGCTTCAAACATGCCTGCTCTGTCTGGAATATTTTACCCATCCTCCCCTCCACCTGGTTCTCTCCAATTCCAACCATCAGACTTCTACTTGGATGTCACTTTCTCAGGGAGACCTTCACTGCCCCTCAAACTATATTAGTCACCCCTTTTTCATTCCCACAGCACCTGTAGGAATGCACCTGTCACTAGATCCAGTATATCTTAAAATATTCTGCAAAGTCGGAGGGTACTTAAAATAATGAGGAATTGGCTAATAGCACTGGGAATATTTGTTAATAAACTCAACTGAGAAAGTTTCAAAAAATAATAATAATAATAATGTCAGTCTCCCAGGCGCCTGGGTGGCTCAGTTGGTTAAGCGACTGCCTTCGGCTCAGGTCATGATCCTGGAGTCCC